GTCGAGAAACACACGACCAGGCCATCAAGCCAAAGGGTCGGACAACAAACGACCGGCATACGAATAAGTTAAACTAAACGCATAAAAATAAACAACGACCGAGATAAGAGGGACAAAAGACGATTTCATTAAATTGTTCAAAGGTGCCCGGTATAAGTCGAGACCGGGCTCCCGATCAAGTTCATCTACACAAAACGAAGAAGAAAGCCTAGCTACTTCTTCGCGGCGACATCGCTCGGCTCGGCCACGTCCTCTTTGGGGTCGAACGGCGGCGGGCCGGGGTTGGCAACTTCGTCTGGAAGGGTCGTCAGGATCAGCTCGAGATCTTCACCCTCAAGGGCCTCTCGCATGTAGGCTTGGGTCTTTTCACGCATCTTCCGCTGGCCGGACTTAAATCCCCATCGGCCGAACGCCCAGATCAACGCATCCCCGACCGTAGTCTTCCGGACTTCCCGGAGGAACTTTGTCCCGGACACATCGTCCCGGAAGAGGAACTGCGCCAACTCTCCAAGGTTGGCCAGTCGGGCCTTCAGCGTCTTCGCCTCCCCGAGAGCCTCCTTTGCGGCCTTCTCGGCCACTTCCTGGGCTCCTTTCGCAGCTCGGGCCGCTTTCTCGGCCGTATCCCGTTCCTCCTTGACCTTCTTCAGCTCGGTCCGGAGGTCGGTGTTCTCCTTTTTTCGCTGCTTGGCGACATTTTTTAGAGCGTCAGCTTCGTTGGCCAGCAGTGCTCGGCGCTGGAGAACCTAGGTCGCTCGGGAGATCTGCAAAACAAGAAAGGCGTTCGAGATTAGCCCAAGCGGAGGAACTTGCATAAATTTAAGAAGACGAAATGTCCTTACCTCGGCCAGGTCGTGGCCAATCTTCTCGGCCACTTGGGTCGGGGAGAGTTTGCTCAAATCCTCCTTGATCGGCCCGGCATTGCCGATGCGCGTGAGGATGGAGGCGTCGCCCTTAATAGCCCCGACCGAAGGGCTCGGGCTCCGCTGATTTCTTCGGCGTTTCAGCGCGCTGGTCTCCTCTGTCCCTTTCTCGGACACCTTTTCCTTGCCTTTGGGGGCAGTCACCCGGGTGACAAGGACGTCCGAAGCGTCGACCACATAGCCTTCGGCTGTGGTGACGGTCGTTGATGCGCCTATTGGCCGGGCGGTCGGGATTTGTTTATCCGCGGCCGGCTTACTTTTGATCTTCTTCTTCCCGAGCACGATCTTAGCTATGGGAGCTCGGGGAGCCTCATCTTCTTCGAATCCTGCCATTTCTGCAAACAAAAAGAAATTGGTTAGGTTAAGGTCGGAAAGTGATCGGGGAGTTAGGGTCGGGGACGATCGGTTAGTGTTAGACCTTCGTTCTCCGGTACGGGCACGTATTTCTCCTCCAAGTCGTATCTTGGCGGTGGCAGTCGGGCTTCGTCGTAGCATTCCCTCGAGCGAAAGATCTTGTATTCGTGGACTTCGCTCGAGATTTTAGTAACAGCGTCTTGAAGGGCCCTTGTCTCGACTGGCACCAATTGTTTCCTATAGTGGCTGCTCCACGTCCTCTCGACCTGGAGGATCCATGGGTCGTATTCGACCGAGAAGATTCTATTCTTCCACCCTTTGTTGTTCCCGGGAAGACTCTCGATCGCGCACATGTCGGCCCGGGACTGTATCATCAGAAACCCGCCCCCGTATTTGGCCGGTAGGGTCTTCACCTGGTAGATGAAGTTGAATAACTCCATCGTGCACGCCACCTCATGCCCAGCGCATATTTGCGGGAAGTACGCTAGAATTCTATGCGCGTTCGGGCAAATCTGGGCCGGGACCACCCGGTTGTAGCCCAAGAAAGCGGTTAGGAGGGCGGAGAAAGGTATCTGGATCGGGGCCAGGAGCGAGTCGTAGTGCATCCCGATCCATTTGCCTTCATGCCTGTCGATGAAGTTCCCCAAGCTCCGGCGGGTGTCGAAACGAACCCGGTCGGTGAGTAGCGCGGAGATCTTCGCGGCTTCTGCTTTCATCAGCAGGCTTTCTTGCTGCTCGACGCTGTCCCGGTTCAGGAACACAAACTCCCCGTCGGTCGGCGCAGGTGGGGCAGCCGGGTCTTCCTCGACCGGCTCCGGGGTGGCCTCCCGATCGCTAGTCGGAGGTGCTGGCTCAAGGTAATCCCCAATTACCCGGGTCGGCGTTTCCCGAACGCCACCCGTCGGGGAACCTTGCCCGCTCATTGTTGTTTGGCCGCTCTTAGTGCTCGAGCTGGCTGATCCACTCGAGCTTGACATTCCCTCTGAGCTGGACGACCTTCGTCGCTCGGGGGTCTCTTGTGGCCGTTGAGCGACCTCTGGTGAGTAGGATATGATGTCCACCTCTTCGCTGATCTCCTTGACCGCGTCGTCGTAATCCGCGACGGAGGCGTTCTGGCTATCCGTATCCGACATTTAAGTTTACCTAAAGGCTGGTCGGATGGTGTTAGGGCTCGGGATATTCGGGTCGTGGTCAGCTAAGGCCGGTAGTCGGCTATAAAAGTAAATATAAAACAAGAAATTAAAAAGTTAAAGGAGCAAAAAACTTACTGGGCGGTGGTACTTGGCGAGAAGAGTTGAAAGCTGAGTGCTCGACTGACTTGCTGAGGTATTCGCTCGGAACGCTCTGGTTGCACCGATCGATTGCTTGTCATGCCTTTGTCCTTTTATGCCAAGGCTGGGGGGGCTCTTGGTAAGGAATACCCCGACCGTCATGCCTTTGTCCTTTTATCCTTGCTTGTGCAGGTTGCAGGTCGGATTTCCTTAGAAGAATCCGGTCGGTTCCCGACCGGGCGTTGCCCGACCGAGGTCCTTGAAACCCGATTGATAGCCCTTAGGCGAGAGAGTCAAGAAGAGACGTGTGGCAGCGTTACGCGTCGACAGGCAGGGCTTCAGGGAGGAGGACACGTGGGTGACATGTCGAACGGCCGGACTTATGTCTCCGGCCGGCCCAGCGGCTATAAATACCCGCGGTGGCAACAGTGTGAGGGACTTTTGGACGATCGATAGGCTATTCTCAGAGCATCCCGGCCGCAGTCAGTCAGCCCTCGAAATAGCCATTGTAGATTGTACTTAGGACCTTCACCTTGATCAATAAAAGTGTTTTACTTGCTTTAATTGGTCTTATATTATTTTATTCACCGCTTACGTGGGAATTAACAACAACAACAACAGATGAGAAAAATTTTGACTAACATTGCTTCCTCCACAAACCCAGAATCTCCGATCAAGATTTTCATTACTCCATGATGTTTGGATGTTCCATTGCATACCACACTAACAAAATGAACATGGACAACATCTCCATAGTGAAATATTTGCATTGGGAAGTTTGAAGATGAAGAAGAGCTATTTTGATTTTGTTGTTGATGATTTCACATTTTGAGCCAGTTTCAGGCAAGGAAGAACTAGGTTTTACGCAACAGCTTCACAACATGTGGCAATGGAGTTGAAATCTTGTTATAATGGAGTAGATGAGCTAAATTACCTGTTTTTTCCTCTAATTTGACACCAACTGGATGCTAATGCCAATAGATGACCAATTTAGCTTAAATTCCAATAGTCGGAGAATGAGTTTGGGTGAAATTAAAAGTCATGGGACCAATTTTAGAAAAGGCAATAATCGAAAGACTAATTTAGAAATTTCCTCTTATATTTGCTTAACTATTATCATGGTTGCAGTAGGCGCTAGGCACTTGTCAGGCGCCTGGGCAGCGCCTAGCGCCTAGGCGGCGCTAAGTGGGCGCAAGAAAAATAGTGGCAGACTTGCAATTTGACAATTTTAATGAGGCTGTTTTCAACATTCAATCAAATAACACGTCCAAATAAATGAAATAATGATAATTCATAAGTCATAACATCAAAACAATATTAAAAAATAAAAAATACTCAAATATGACATACTAAAATACTTCAATCATCCAAAGTATCAAACTAATCTACGGACGGCTGGAACAGACGACATCGGACGAAATCGGTCAAAATCGAACGAAATCGACCGACTCGGCCAACTAAGCTGATTTTGACCGATTTCGCCGCCTAGCCGATCGCCTATGGTCTGACCGATTTTTGGGCGCCTAATAGTGAAATCGGAACGGCTTAGGGGCGTCTAGGCGCCGCCTAGGCCTATTTTTACAACAGTGACTATTATACAAAGCCTTATATTACAATCATCTTCCCCATCCATATCGCTCGGTTAAATGGGCTGCACTAAATGCAACGGTCTTTAGCTAGCTCAAAGTACTTTGTTGGTTCAACTAGTAAGTAAATGTTACGAGTTGTGCTCGGGATCTAATCTTATAATTACCTCAATTATTCCGTGAATGATAAAATTTGTTTGATACATTAAGAAATGAGGAATGTTATGCACCGCAGAACAAGAAAAAAGAAAAAGAAAAATGCTCAAATAAGCTCTCAAACTTTAGTACTTTACCTAAAAGGTCAATTAAGCATCTAAACTTTTTAATGTTGTAATTAAACTCATAAACATGTCATTTTGATGGATTGAACTCCAACAACTAGTTAATGACTTGCTATTGCAAGTCATTAAAATTCTAGTGACCTTCTAACATACTCCGACAACATTCTGATTAACTCCGCCAAACTTCCAACTAATTCTGCAAAAACTTTTATAACAAACCTGGAGAGGCGACCAAAAGGTCACCTGACGGAGAAGGCGGCCATTTTGATCGCCTTCTCCGGTGTGAGGCAACCACAAGTCGCCTTCTCGGCTAAAAAGGCGACCGGTCGCCTTCTCCGGCGGGTGACCTTTTGGTCACTTCTCCGTGTTTGTTCTTAAAATTTTGACGGAATTGATCAAAAGTTCGCCGGAATTTTAGTGACCTGCAACTTGGGCTTCAATGATTCAAAATGATATGTTTATGGATTTAATTGTAACTTTGAAATGTTTAGGGGCTTAATTAACCTTTTAGATAAAGTTCGAGGGTTTATTAGACATTTTTTTAAAAAAAATATACTGTGTGCAGAAGGTTTATCCCACCTCATTACCATGGCTACCCGAAAGAAGGAAATTTCTCCGTGTATTGTGGCTAGGGGTGCACCAGGAGTCTCTCATCTGTTTTTTGCAAATGATAGTCTTCTCTTTTTTAAAGCCTCAATTTCTGAAGCTGAAGCTGTGAAAGGTTGCTTAATGACTTATGAAAGAATGTCAGGACAATCTGTTAACTACAATAAGTCATGTATTGTATTTAGCGGGAATACAGCGGAAGATAGGAGAAATGCGGTTGCTACGGTCTTTAATGTTACTCAATCAGGCAGTATAGGAAAATATTTGGGATTGCCTATGGGCATTGGCCGAAACAAGAAAGAAGTTTTTTCTTATATTGAAACTAAATTGATTCACCGGTTGAGTGGTTGGAACAAAAAGTTACTTTCAAAGGCTGGGAAGGAAATTCTCCTTAAAAGTGTTGCACAAGTTTTACCTACATACACGATGAGTTTGTATTTGCTCCCAGTAACTTTTTGTGAGCGCATTGAGTAGATAATGAACAAATATTGGTGGTCTACAAGGGGTGGGCGTGACAGCGGAATTAAATGGATGACTTGGTCAAAGTTATGTGCTCCTAAAGTCCAAGGTGGACTGAATTTTAAAAACCTGAGCCGTTTTAATGTGGCTTTGTTAGCCAAACAAGGTTGGCGCTTGCTCACTCAGCCGAACTCTATTGTTGCTCAACTTTACAAGGCAAGGTACTACCCAAATGTTGATTTCCTTGAGGCAAATATTGGAGCCAATCCAAGTTTTTGTTGGAGATCTATTCTTGCAGGCCAACATTTGTTACAGCAAGGCTGTTTTCGTAGAATAGGGAATGGTGGAAGTACAACAGTGTGGAATCAACCGTGGTTGCCAAATGATGATGACCCCTATGTTCGTACACCATTACCACAAGGAGGAAATATGAAGGTTAGTGATCTTATTGATCCTATTTTGAAAGATTGGAACACTGCTCTTCTTAATAATATTTTCCAACAAAGAGACGTGGATTTAATTCTTCAAATCCCAGTTTCAATTGAGTATGATGATGTATGGTGTTGGAAGGGAGATGTTAGGGGCATATATTATGTTAAACAAGGGTATAGAAACCTCTTGGAACATCATGACAATACTGTAGCGATTGCGACTAATATTTGGAATATCATTTGGAAGCTAAAGATTCCCCCACATGTGCATAATTTCTTATGGCGGTGCTTTCATGGCATTTTACCTACATTGACTGTGTTGGCAGCTAGGAGAGTTGAAGTAGATATCATGTGTCCCATTTAACAGCAACCATAGACCATCCAACATTTATTTTGTGAGTGTGTTCACACTGCTCCAACATGGTTAAATATTGTGGGGTGCACCCCACCTACAGTTGACGAGAATATTCTTTCTTGGTTGTCAGGGAAGCTTGTTTTGAATGGAGGGCTGACTACATTGAAATGTATAGCTTTATGTTGGTCCATATGGCTGCTGCGAAATGATATTGTATGGAACCAAAAAACATGGCAGTATTCGAAGCTTGAATCTGATGTGCAGCACCAGGTCCACGAATGGAGTTCCATGATCACGACGTCTTCAGCTAGTATACATGACCAACCGGCCGTGATGGACGAGTGTATGTTGCCTGAAGGTATGGTATCCGTATATGTTGATGCCGCTGTATTTTCTGAAACTCAGCAAGCCACCTTTGGTATTGTTATTTAGGATCGTGGTGGTGCTTTCCTTGGTGCAAAAAATGGCCCGATCAAAAGTTTGAATGATGCTCATTTGGTGGAGGCCATGGCCATTAAAGAAGCTTTGACGTGGACTAAGAATTGTGGCTATTCAAAGGTGAGGTTGTTTACAGATTGCCAACAGGTGTGTAATCTACTCAAGGGTTCGTCACTAAATTTGTCTTTCGCAGGATGTGTCATTAACGAATGCCGAAAACTCCAACGACACTTTGAAAATGTGTCTATCAACTTTATTTCAAGATCAGTGAATAAAGCAGCTCATGCATTAGCAAGGGCAGCTCGTTCTAGCTCTGGTTTTACAATTTGGCTTGATTCAGTTCCTTTATGTATTGAACGATTGATTTAATATTGAAAGTATGTTGGTTTTTTTTTTAAAAAAAAAAAAATTAATTGTGACTTCATTCAAAAAATAATAATTGTGACAACTTTAATACGGAGTATTTATTTATAATAAATCTATTACAAATTTTAATACGCTAAATTATCCAAAGAGTAATATTAGGCGTAATTTTATAACTTTTTATCCAAATACAATGATTGGATAAGATCTGAAATTAGCATAGCGACAGACACGTCATGAAAGATGAAACAAGATAGATAAGCTCACGCCTCCACTCCCCGCGGCGGCGCAACACCACAAAAACCACCATCCTACTCGATCTTCACGCCTATATATATACATATAATCCAAAATAGAGATGGTCCTGCAAAACGCTTTTTTTATTTATAATTTATCCGTACAACATTTGGTATTATCCTGTTCATTCACGCCTTTAGCAATCTCTCTTTGACTTCGAAAGCTAAAAATCTGATCCCATCTGAGATAGAGAAAGTTTTCTGGGTTTCGTTCATCTTCTGCGCTAAATTTGTGAAGTTTCTGCAATGGCTGCTGCGGTGGGAAGGATTGGAGGGGGGGTTGGGGGTTACGGTTCAGGCTCTGGGTCATTGGAGCGGTTGAGGAATTCTGGGAAGAAGCGCAGGAACGAGAAGGATGGGTTCAGAGTCTCCTGCATTTCTTCTCCTTCCGTGGCTGATCCCTACAAGACTCTCAGGATTCACCATGGTGCCACTGAATCTGAGGTCAAGAAAGCTTTCAGACAGCTTGCTCTTAAGGTATCTGTTTTTGTTGCACAGACATTCCATTTCCCCTTGTTCATAATTCATAGAAATGGCAATTTTCTTCCAACACTTGCACACAAAATCTATTATTGTTGCTGCCTTTTTTATTCTTCATAAAGATGTGTTCTTTTATGTTATGAGTTTTCTTTGTGTTCATAACTGCAGTACAATGTTTCATAGATTTGTTGGAATTGGTGCTGATTATTAGTAACATAAAACCAGTTTGTGTATTAATCTGTGTGTGTGTGTGTGTTTTTTTTATTTATCCGATTTCAGTATCACCCAGATGTGTGCAGAGGAAGTAATTGTGGGATCCAATTTCATCAGATTAATGAAGCATATGATGTATGTTTCTATCCATCTTAACCTCTCTTGTTCTTGTTATTGTATAGTACTATTTTGAAGATTATTTATGATTTTTGGAGTTAAATCTTTCACTATTTCTGATAATTTGGTTGAGAGACTGTACCCACTACCCAGTAGCCAGAAATTTGTTATTGATTTCATGGATTTTGATCCTAACATGCTCTATTAAGCTTTCACATAGATAAGGATAACCTGACATGTCTGTTTTTAATGTTTTGGATTAATGTGCTCCATAAATCTGGAGAAGTTATCCACTTCTCTATTGAATTAGAGGATCACTAGAAGATAAGTATGCATATTTTATTCTTGCACACAAAAAAGGCAAAATTTCTCACATTGGCCCCACACTCCGACCCTATAGGATAATGGAGAGGTAAATCACGGTGACTTAGTCACCTACCCATTAGGTGGGAGGACCCATGCTTGGCTCTCACAACAAGTCCACCGGATTAGGTGTAACTTCTACATTGCGGCTGTGATCTTGTCTGCATATTTTATTCTTGCTCGCCCCGAGGGCTTCCACACCCCAGCCCCGATAGGATTGTACCATCTAGCTTATCTTCTTAAAGATATCAAAGACTTATATGTCATCTGCATACTATCCAGTCTGCATCTTGTGTATATGCCACTGGTCTAGAGGAGCTATAAGCTAAAGATCTTACATTCTGGACTAAAACTTAGCTTGTGAGGCTACACTTGTGCAGATAGTTATGAGTCATTTGAGAGGCGAGGCGAGGCTGCCACAGACCGAGATGTACAAGCAATATGATGAAGCAGGGAACGATGAGCAGATGGGAGGGATGTACGACCCCGATGATCTCTGGGAAGAATGGATGGGGTGGGAAGGAGCCGGGATTCGCGACTATACTTCCCATATCAACCCTTACATCTGAATCTGGACTTTGATCCACCTTTCTTGTGGCCAAAACCCACCAGCTGGGAAACAGGTGGTTGAGCTTTCTGTACAGAATGAAGTTGTAGTCTCAGGAGTTTAGTTTTTCTGATATCAGAAGTTGTACTATCTTATCTTTTCCCACTGTAAATACCATTATTAAAACTCTGATATTCAATCAAAATGAATAAGAAGTGCCATCTTCTTCGTTAATCTTTAGTCTTTTGACTTTGAGTGCCATTTTGGTGTTATGGTGGTTATGGCTGTGTCACAGAGGAGGTTTATTTGAACTGATGCGGGCATGCCATATCATACATGCATATAACAATTAATATGTGATGATATACATACATGAATCAACACCTATCATTTTCCAGTAATCATGAGACATACACGAAAGAGTTGAGCCATCATCAACAGGTTGTAGCCCTATGGTAACATAGTTAGCTAATCACTAATTTTGGCTTATTTGACCCTTGTTTGACTTGGTTAAATAATCAATATAAGTGTTTAATTAATTAATTTTTTGTAACCGCTTAAAATTCAAAAACTTTTTTAATCAGCTTTTTAAGAAAATCATTTTACATGTAATCAGCTAACACTCTAAGGGGGCGTTTGGTTCAGGTTATATTACATAACCAAGGGAAAATGTGACATTCTCAAACTTACATTCCTATGTTTGGTTCATATTCTCTGGGGGAATGGAATATTTTCAGGGAATGGAACATTCCCTCCACATAGAATTTTGAAGGAAATGTAATTCCTTTCATTTTCTTAGGTTATGTAAGATAACCTTGAATATTTATAAATTTTACAATTTTAATTCTAATTATAAAGATACATATTTTATGTTAGCTTATTATTGCATTCAAAAAAAAATGTTAGCTTATTATTATTATTATTATTATTATTATTATTATTATTATTATTATTATTATTTTATCAAACACCCTTTATACCTATCGCCACTCCACTATTTTTCTTGTCCTTGTCGCGCACAGGTCTACCATTGCCTACACTTTTTTCTTCACCACCCGAATCACTAAAACCCAACTCCATTGTCTCACCAAATCTAAGGCAATTTACTAGGGTTGTTCATCACCATCGCACGCCTCTCTCTCTCTCTCTTTCTCACTCTCAGTTGCACCAACAAAGGTAAATTTTAGCAGTGAGTCTGCCGACTAACAACAACCATTAACGCCTAGATATTTGGGGGGAGGGAGGGGGAACCCCCCTGCCTTTCCTTATGCTATTGTGAATCTAACTTTTATTCTTCATCTGTCTAGCATATTTTTATAAATACATCACTTTATTTACTTTGTAAATTAGATTGTTCAATAAAAAATTCTTTTAAGAATTATTGTTCTCATCTGGTATTAGACCTAACGATCCATGATTCTCAACCCTACGACCACTGACACCGACTCTGAGCAAGTTGCACCATTGACCGATAACTAATATATATATATATATATATATATATATATATATATATATATAGAGAGAGAGAGAGAGAGAGAGAGAGAGAGAGAGAGAGAGAGTTAGGATCATATGAGAACATGTGCTTAGGTGAGAACGTGAGAACACATCATGTGCATCCATCTAATATTTTTTAATGGTCTAGATTAGGTTAAATGTGTGCGAACGCGCATTAAATGTATGCAAACACACTAAATCGCGTTTGCACACATTTAATGCACGATCGCACACACTTAATCTAATCTAGACCATTAAAAAATATTAGATGGATGCACATGATGTGTTCTCACGTTCTCACCTAAACACATGTTCTCACTGGAACCCTACCCTATATATATATATATATATATATATATATATATATTTAGTTTCAAATGTAATCCAATGCTATCATGTGAACATGTGTACTATTATGCACCATCTTGCTCAATCTTATGGTTTATAATGATTTTGACTTGGTAAATATACATCAATGCACATCCAATGCACATCACTGAACCAATGCACCACATCACTGCACCAATGCACAACTACACCAGATGCACTACTACACCACTCCTCAGATCTTGGCTGTGCAATCTCACATCTCAACAGTTCGTGCCTCCTCAGATATTGGTCGTCCAATCTCACATCTCAACAGTTCGTGCCTCCTTAGATATTGGTCGTCCAATCTCACATTTCAACGGTGCGTGCGGGTTCACATGTTCACATGATTGTAATGGTTCACACCTGAAATGTAATTCCACCAAATGTCCCTTGTGTTTGGGGCAATTTCAATTTTAATCCCAGACTATTGTTTTTTGGACACTTTTAGTCCTTTCGAAGATTTTTCACTAAGATCCTATTTCTAGTAAGGGAATTTTTGTCTCTTCATTTTTTTTTTTTAAATTTACCGATTTTCACCTGTTTAATTTAGTTATCATAGCAAAGCCGGTTATTCTAATTATTATGATTCAATCGACAATTCCCCTCAAACCCCTAACTCAATTTCATCTCCTTCAGTTCAATCAACAAAATCCTTAGGGGAATTTAGGGATTTGGGACAACAGATTTAGGGCGACAATTAAGGATTTTGCCGATTGAACTGAAGGAGATGAAGTTGAGTTAAGAATTTGAAGGGATTTGTCGATTGAATCCTTATAATTAAAAGAATTGGCTCTATTACGATAACCCAATTAAACCGGTGAAAACCGGTAAAATATAAAAAAACTGAAGAGACAAAAATGCCCTTACTAAAAATAAGATCTTAGTGAAAAAATCTTCGAAAGGACTAAAAGTGTCCAAAAAACAATAGTCTGGGATGTAAAATGAAAAAAACGATAGCCTGGGACTAAAATTAGAATTGCCACCAAAGACAAGGGACCTTTGGTGGAATTAACTCTCTCTCTCTCTCTCTCTCTCTCTATATATATATATATATATATATATATATATATATATATATATATATATAAAGTTCTCATGCAGCAAACACTTCCCGTGCGGCGGTGCAGCGGGGTTACAGAATACACCAACAGTGTTATTAACATGCACCAACAATGTAAGGGAAACGCACCACAATGAAATGCAAAAAAAAAAAACATCACAGAATACACAACAGACCCAAAAAATACATCATATAACTCACCACACCCCAATGATGTATTTCCGAACACTGTATGATGTTTTTACTCACGCCTAATGGTGTGTTTTTGGTGATGCGTACCTAATTTGTGTGTATTTTTGTGGTGTATTTTATTGGTACCGTTGGTAGAAAACACAAATAATAATCAAAAAATAAGATTATTATTTTCTGGAAAGAAGGGAAGAAAAGAGGAAGAAAAGTGGCTAGTGTTTGGTGTTGGGTTTTTGCAAGAGTCAAGTGAGCACTCTTTCCTTAAAACCTTATTTGCCACCTCCCAAAGATGCTAGGAGCGTTGTGGCCTAGGCTTCCCAGGATAAAACTTGCTAATGATTCAATGTTTGAGCACTCAAACAAGGAATCCGGCGAGCAAGACAATGGCTATGAACACAGTAGGCCAAGAAAGAGTAGAAGCAGAGAGGTTTTGAAGCTGAAAAAAAAACGAACTTTCGTGTTCTATGTTTCTGTGTATAAAACTCTACTGCCTCTACTCTCTCTTATATAGGGTTGAAGGAGCCAATAGCCTTTATTATGGCAATTAAAAAATGACATTAAAGCTGTCTTGCAACAGCTGGCCACTGCCGTTAGCCCGCAAGGCCAGCCAATTTCCGGACGACATTCGTGCCCCCAGGTGCCGGCGCACACGAGCTCGGGCTTGAATCAAGCCTTTTCCAAGCTCTGCTAGTTGGAATTTGATTTGCACCCCCCCCCCCCCCCCCCCCCCCCCGCGCGAGAGAGCCTCTATGCTATACAATTCTACAAGCTTCAAAAGAGCTCTTGTATATAAAGGGGGGAAAATCTTCATTCCAAAGCAATGTGGGACAAAAGCACACTTTTTCCCTTCATTTTCCAACTCAAATGGGTCTACTTTGAGAATCAATATCTCATTCACCCATTATCCGTTTTGAGCGTACAATATATCGATCTCTTCGTCGCACTACGAAGAATCCGAATCCACTTTAACCCGACCCAAATCGGAAGTGGACCCCACTGATAATTGTACCACAAAATAGCCACTTAACATGCCATTTTTAGCTATTTTTTCCAACAATCCCCCACATGAATGAAAAATTGATTTTCGGGGTATTTTGAAATTGGAAACAACTGTGTTCAAACGGTCGATTCCTGCATAGGATAGGTAGGGAGTCACTATACCCTTTGAACCTTCCCTCGTGAAGACATGTTTACTCTACTGGCTGTACGGTAGAACGCGATGTCTTTGAACCGACTTCCGTTTGTGTAGAAGATGACATATCTCACACAGGAATCTCCCAACCATGCTCTTGCTCTCATGAGTGTGCCCGTTTTGGTCGTGGGTCACCGTTCTTGGTTCTGCGAGAGTTTCTAAAGAATTGTACCCAACAATTCTCCTTTGAAGCGACCCTCACTTCTCTCTAACATAGGTGATTCTTTCTCGAGTATCCCGCATACTCAAAAATCATTAAAGCATTAGCATGCTAGCCTCTTGCGGGAGTCACTGTTTTAACGAGGAGTGGTAGGGAGTCCGAGACCCCCACAATGACGCACTCCATTCCATAATTTAGTTGTCCCATTGAACCTAGGTGCCAGCTAGGTTGGGTATCCACTATAGAACTTTTTAGTCCAAGGGCAGTAGACCCATTCCTCGTGTCAACTTCTCCACAACTTCTCTTCCTAACCCTTTGGTCAGCGGATCCGCTATATTGTCTTTTGACTTTACGTAGTCAATCGAGACAACACTAGTTGTGAGTAGTTGTCTAATGGTATTATGTCTACGACGCACGTGTCTAGACTTACCATTATACATATGACTCTGTACTCTCCCAATTGTGGCCTGACTATCGCAATGCACACATATTGGAGGTACCGGTCTTTCCCAATTAGGAATATCCTCTATAAAATGGCGTAGCCATTCAGCCTCTTCACAACCTTTGTCCAAGGCTATCAGCTCAGATTCCATCGTGGGTCTAGCTATCACAGTTTGCTTAGAGGATTTCCATGCAACGGCTGCGCCGGCTAGTGTAAACACGTAGCCACTCGTGGACTTAGAGTCCTTAATATCAGATATCCAATTCGCGTCGCTATACCCTTCAAGTACAGCGGGATATCTCCCGTAGTGCAGTCCAAGATCACGAGTATA